CCTGCCATCAATCCCCCTCAGTTGGTCGTAAATAGCGGGCAGGACTGCTTGCCATCAGACTTCTTCCTTCTGTGGTAAGTTGAGGCACTAGTAGCACTACTTCCTTGAGGCGGGCACCCCCTTGAATTCCCCCTTGTGACATCAAACATAAACTTTAAGTCCTGTTCTAGCTGTTGTTGTTGTGCTACGTTACTGTTCTGGGTGCACTGCCAGGTATGGGTACAGTGAGGAGGAACCCAACATATCAACAAGCAGAGGAAAGTGCATGCCATCACATTCAACTCCTCATTACAATAATTCGATGGGGTGGGACAGCCTTCACCGAACTGCTTGCTCATGTCTGGATGGCAGACAATCTCACTATTTGGCATTTATGAAGAAATTAATGCAACAGGGCATTAGTTCCACCTTCTGTCCGATGGACACTATGCTCTAGCGACGCAATAATCCCGGAGGTACTCACCGTATGGGCCATGCTTAAATTGTGTCCATTTGGCATGATTGAGAGCGGCGAGTTATCAAGTGTCACCTGCTGGGGATTCAGTTTAATATCTCATAGGTGGTGATTAAAAAAAAAAAAAAAAAAAAAAGGTGGATGGAGGGGGGAGTTCATGATGGGGGGAGCCAAAAGCTGCTAATGTGTATGGAACCAAAGCTACTTCCATACCCCCCCCCCCCCCCCAATTGGTGGGATTCCAGATTCCCCTTTCCCCCCCATTTCCCCCCTTCTATTCTATTTCAACCTGGCTCCCCCCAGCAGGCGCAATGCTTAAGCCCATTAGTATTGGCTAAGTTACACATGTGGCTATTGGTTATTGTGCTGCATTGGCTACTGTGCTAGGGGACCTGCCCCGACCATTCGTGCAGTTTACTTCTCACAGCGCAGCTGTTGTTGTGCTCCTGAAGATCTGATGGGGTGCTGCTACATGTGTCGGAGGTAGAGAGAATCCCCACCTGGAATTCTGACTGTCGTGCACATTGAGCCTGATTGAGGGCTGTGACATCTCACTCAGACTAAGGGCCTCCCCCCACGGCGCACGAGACGAAAACAAAACGCGTGCATCTGCCCACGGAAAGTGGCAACATACACTCGTTACTATTTACAGCAAATCGATGAACCTGGCCATTTTCTGCGGGAAGATGCACTGTTTCGTTTTTCGTCTGGTGTGCCGTGCGGCGACGCCCTAAGCCCTTGATCAGGCTATCGCCTGGACGTCCCATAGATACCACTGGCAGATTCTCAAGGTTCCCGGCTCCTGAAATACCCCCCACGGCCTCTGTCCCGTTATCTGTGGGTACTGGCCCTGTGCTAGGATTCATGCCGTTAAAAACAGCCTGTTGATGACTAATTTGATCACTTGCCATTTGAGAACACTGCGTGCTCAAAGAGTCTCCTCAGCTTGGACATGATATGCCCTGCTGACATAAACCTGGTCCTGCATGTTGTACCTGCAAAGTGGCTGTTAGCAAATTGTTTTTTGGGTTTTTTGAGAAGGGAACTTTTCCTTCCCAGTGATCAGCAGGCAAGCACCCTCCCCACCCCCCTCATTCAAACCGCGGATCCTTTTGTTTTCAATTCTCCCTTTATTCCCCATTTTATACTTGATCTCTTTGCGGACTTCGTTTGCCCTGTGGGCTTACTAGTACTAAATGTTTCATTTCCGAGTCATTTCCGAGTCATTTCCGACCAACGAGTGCGAAGTGTGCATGCAGTGTCCAGCAGGTACGTACTTGCGTTCCGAGAATATCTCTTCTGAGTACGAACTTAACTTGAAGGTGATTCTTTGAACCTGGCCTCTCCAACCTCGTTCTTTTCCTTCTTCTCCTTTCCTTGCTGGTTTCGTTGAGCCTTCTCACTCGCTTATAATTTTTGGATCTTCTTAACTTAAAGACAATCCTGTAACAGTTGTGATTTGTGAGAGACCTTCGATCTCTTTTTTTTTTTTCTTTTTTTTTTTTTAATGGGAACAAGGCTCCAATCGATCTCAAACACGGTTGGTTGCTTTCCTGCTGTGAATCAATGAGGGGAGTACTAAAGAGTGACGGGTGGATCCGATTGGTCACAATAAAAAGTAGTTTATTACTGATATCCACCCCGTCCGCTCCCTGAGGCACACCATACTGCAGCGTCAAATTGAATTTCAAACTCATTGCCAGCATTGGCATGAATCGACCTGGGGCTAGGTCCCACTTACACGGATTAAGCGATATTGACCGTAGATAGCAAAGATCAACGGCCAGAATCTCTTAATCCGTGCAAGTGGGACCTTGCCCCTGGAATATCCTGCCATACATCCTCTTTCAAGTTCAGAAATTTGGTTTTTGACTCTTGAGGTTGATCAGTAACCCCCCCACTCTGCCTACTTCCTGAGTTGAGTGCGAAGGACCGACATGGGCGCGAGACTACCGGTAGTACCATCAACTCCCTCCACTAATAGAGGGGAAACAGCAACCGGTGCATCTTCTACCTCCATCGGTTCTGGCCCGCCGTCAGGCATCTTTCAGCTGTCAGGCATCTTTCCGCAGATCAATCTCGATGTGATCCCGCTGATTTTCTTACCTGTTCGGACACTTCCCTCATCCGGGGCTAGGTCCCACTTGCTCGAATTAAGACGTACTGACCATAGATAGCAAAGATCAACGGCCGAAATCTCCTAATTTGCGCAAGTGGGACCTTGCCCCCGTTCGGACACTTCCTTTTTGCCACTGTCTCTGACTCAGAGGACGATCCCAGGCTGTCCTGCGCATCCTGTTGCTGTCCACTCTCCTCTTTGAGACCGAAAAGAATTTGCAATTTGCAAAGTTGGCTGTTTTGTGTTTTGGGGGTAATAATTGCAGAAATAACGCAGTGGGAGGGTCACCCCGCCAGTAAATACTTTCGATGTGAAACTGCAAGGACCTCTAAAGCTGCACTGAAAGATACGTTTTTGCAACGAAACTTGGGCCCGGGCAATATTTTTGCTGTGAAACTACCGTGCTGCGCTATTCTTGAAACTTACCCTTGTTTTTTTGTCTTTTGTTTTGCAGTCCCCTCTCGACGGGGAGGCTCTCGCATGGGGGAGGCACCAAATACAGCACTACCGTCTTCACCCAAATAGAACGCCGGGTCATTATAGCTGTATTTGCCGCAACTTTCAGCCCAGATACGGCGATAATTACCAGGTGTTCTATTCGGGTGAAGACGGTAGTGTCAGGGTAATGGCGCTGACACCTCTCAAGAATGTAGCGCCTCACGAGTGTCCGCCTAAGAACTCTGGAAAACATGGACTTTACAGGCTGGTTATTGCCCCAATTTATTTATTTATTATTATTATTTATTTTTTTCAGGGACGCTCGAACTCAAACTACTGACACCTCTCATACGTATTTGCAGGGGTGGAATTTGAGATCCTCTGTGGCTATGCGCGACCTTTTGAAATCAAAAGGGGGCAAGATGGCAGCTTGGCAGGCTGGCTATACTTGACGGGTGGCCAAGTGGGGTTCGGATGGAAGCACAGTACTTGAAGCCTTGCAGAGGGTAACTTCCCACATCGCTCACGAAGCCAAAAAATTGCAAGTTCATGGGTGGTGGCAGGGTAAATGTGCTGCTATTCATAGGCTTGGACCGCACTGCACGGCGGCTGGAAACATTTGAGCGCCTGGAGGAAAGAGAGTCCAGTTCTGGAAAAGAGCTGGATTTCGGAGCGGACCCCACCGCCAGTGCAATTATGGGCACTGGAAAAGGCCTTCCTTTCCCGGATAAGAAGAGTCGCTGGTGCCCCGACCGAAAAGGAAAAGGTGGGCTGGGCGGTGGAATGCCAGTCGCACATCCAATGCAGATCTGGTGGGATGCGCGGACCGCCGGACATCACCCGAGACCTTTGTTGGACCACCCGGTCTGGCGCTCTGACGCCAGCGGCTGGCATCCGCAGCCCCCGTCCCATTTCCTTCCACCTTTGAGTCGGACCCCACTGCTCGGCTTCCTGGAAATATATTTCCAGGACGGTGTGTTTGGGACTCCACTGATCTGGAAAAGAGGATGGAAACCCAGAATTGGAAGGTTTTTCAGACCCCACAGACCGTGGAAAGACGTTGCGGGAAAGGTGTCAGAAGCGTTTCTACTCGGTTGGCGGCCTGGAAACCGAAGCGCGCGGCCTTCTAGGACCTTTCCTGAAATGCCTTCCAACCGAGTGGGGGGGGGGGCATGTTCTCCCGTGGAAAGAAGATGCCGAGCGGGCGTGGTCCAGCTGACATCACGGCGGACCGTTTCATGGGCGGGCAAGCCCCCTCGGACATACACTGCCCTGTCGCACGGTTCCGATGTGGGCCGTTGTGTGGCTGGCCTGCGCGGGCCCTGTTTTCCAAAACGGCAACGAATTTCAAATTCAAAAAACGGGCGGGCCGGGGATGACGGCCAGCCATGCATGGGTAATCCAGCCAAACGCTGGCAGCATATGAGCGCACGTGCGGATCCCGTCAGCCCCAAGCGCTGTCCTCATGCCGAGTACTGGGATGCAAAGCTGCGTTCGGAGTGCAATGCCATCGCTGAGGAGCATTATAGGCGCAGGGCGTGGGGTCTTTGGTCGGTGACATGGTTTTTGGCAGTGTCACCAGGCAGGGTATGGGCGATGGTTGCATACTAGAGGGGCGGCCAGCGCGGCGACGGTTGTCCGGGCAGGGAGCCGTTCGGGAGAAGCCGTTTCGGCAATCAGTCGTGGTGTGAACATACTGCATGGACTGTTGTTTCAGCCCGCATGGGCTTCGGCGGGAGTTGTCATTCCACGTATACCGCCATTGTCTTCATAACGACCATTTCGTCAAAATGGACATTTTTTACTTTTTGAACGAAATTGAAACTGAGTTTTTTCACCGAAAACTCGTCAAAATTTGTTGTTCCTGACGCTGGACCCCCTGGCTGTACATGGACCTAGCTTGAGACCAGGCACCTCCAGGCAGGACTGAGAACCAGGGAGGCATTGAGGGGGGAATGGATCCGACTCGGAGCCGGTGTAGGGCTGAGAACCAGGGAGGCATTGAGGGGGAAATGGATCCCATTTGGTAGAGGGCGGAGAACCAGGGAGGCATTCAGGGGGGGTTCCCGACGCGGGACGGACATCCACTGGCAGGCAGTCATTACTCATGTCCGTCATCGCCCAGGCTACAGTCCTTCACCAGACAGCTGTACGACGGGGGGCGAGGTGCACCGATTCGTGTCCCGGCAGCCCCCCTCCCCTCTTCGCAGTCTCATGCAGACGCAGCGGGGCAACGTGCCCGGTCCCATGTTCGGCCACCTTCGGCCAGTATGCCTCTTGGAGGTGGTCACATGGGACACACACCGTACGCCACCCAAGTCGGTGGCGGGTATGGCGTGGGCAGTGCAAATACGTTGCCGGTGGGAAGCGGGTTCGGCTTCGCTGCTCACGTGTTCCCTGCGCAGCAGACGTTTGATAGGGGGAGCGCACTGCGCAATGATCGCCCTTGGTCCCCCCAATCCGGCCAGACTTCCCAGTCGTCGCATGCCATGTACTCCAGCACCACCACTTTATCCAGCAAGCGGTCACCTTCCACTCCCGGTCCTTCCACTGTGGACGCCGACGGACGCGACATGGACAATGCATGGACGCCGCATTACGGAACTTCCGTCCCGTCGGGGTTCGTCAGCGACGCCACAAATGGCTACGATGGTCAAGCGTGCAAGGATATGGAGGATGACACCGGTAATGGAGATGGAGATGATGTTGATGACGAGAATGGCGATGGAGGCGGTGTTCCAGAAACGGACAAGGCCGGTGATTCCAATGGGAGAAACGATGGCAGACGTGGGCAAAAAAAAAGCAGGAACGACAGGCCACCGAAAACAAAAAACAAAACCTGGCGTGGATGTTGGAGGAGAGGATATGGCTGGCAAAGATGATGGGGGAGGACGATGCGCTCATGGCTGATGCCAATGGACAGCATCGGTTCATGAAAAGGAAGGAGCGGTATGCGTTGGTGGCTGATCGCATGGCATCCGGCAGTTTTCCTCAGAGAACTACGGAGGACTGCCGTAAGAAGTGGACGTCCATGTTGACGAAGGCGAAGCTCATCCTTGACAAGTGCGAGAACGCGTCTGGCCTGCCGTCGTACTGGGACACAGACCTGGAAAAGCAGAAGGAGTTGCAGGTGCCTCTCGCCTTCGAGAACCCGCTGTGGGATGCCATGCAATGGAAACTGAACAGACCATCTATGACGTGCGACCAGACATTGGGCTCTGGGGACCCGGCGGGAGCGGGAGTAGGAACGCCACCTTCGGGAAGAAGTGGATCCGGAAAAAGCGGGTCTAAGGCGAGAGGAACGGACGGCTCGAAGTGCGCAGCGAAGATGCAAAGAACGTTGTCAGGGAAAACAAGGATGGACGACGCTGGGACCGGCGGATTGACTTTGGCGAGGGCGATGGAGGAATAGACACGATCCCACTGCGATGGTCTTGACAAGGTCGCTTCTACATTGGCGAAGGCAACCTCGGATGTCAGGACTGCGATGTCGGCGAAGATTGGTGATGTGGCGGAGGCGATAAGAGGAGGGAACACTCTCCTCGATATGCTCGTAGGGGTTCTCGCCCGTCGCTATGTGGGGTCTTCCGGTGGTGACGACAACGGCGGGGACACGAACTCGTAGTCTATGTGAGATATATATATATATCTGTTTGTGACGATATATATATATATATATATATATATATATATATATATATATATCATGGCTACGCCGGACCCGGACTCGGACATTTCCGGACATGGAACCGGACCCATGTCCGGTAGTTTCCGGACGTCCGGAATTCCGGACATTTCCGGACCTCCGGACATGGGGGGATCCGGACGGTCCGGAAGTCTGAACAGGTCCGGAAATGTCCGGACCATTAAAAAAAATAAAAATAAAAAAATCTGAAAAAAAAGTATGTTATGCAGAATAACAATGCAAACCACTTTTGCCTCAGAGTCATGTCAGA